GCCTTTAAAATTTCTTTCCTGTCGTTTTAATGTCGTTCTAAGATATTTGTTAGCTTTATGTTTCAATTTCAATTCAGTCTATAAGGAAAATTTCTTCATCATGCATATCATCATCACGTCAGATATGACCATGTTTTTGTCTTATGGCAATCGAAAAAAATCGACGTCCTGGTAATGTCACACATCGTAGAATACAACAGAAGAGAACTATCAGTATGAATGCACCAATTGTATAAACAAAAAATGCCCAATATAATACAGGATGGCAATAAGTTTTCATTGTTGTCCGATCAATGAATTGAATATCTCCATGAATGCCAATAACTGTTGGTATTGCCCTACAAATTCGAAAAATTACAAACAAGATAAGTCCTCCAATTAGTACGAGCATCCAACGTTCAATTGAACAGCAGCGATATCTCTTTGATGATTTATCGTTTTTATTATCTGAATCTTTTGAGCGTGCAATAATTCGATTGATTAAAAGTTTCCAAAAAAAAAAGAGATGAACAAAAATTTTGTTCTTCATTTCACTTACATGATAAGTAACGTAACAAGAGCAATAAGAGCGAGAGTACACGAGCCAGAAGTGATCATGTATTCAGATATACTACTATCGATTGGACATAGATCTTTGAAATATACGCCGATAATCAATGCTATACATGGAAATAGCGAACATATGATTGCCAAACTATACATCGAAAAAAAAAAAGAATTACAATGTCGAATGCAACAAATACATCGTACAGACATGAAGAAAGATTTCAAATTGGTTTCTTCTGATTGATTTGAGGCATCAATTGTTTTTATCGGTTGTTCCGGTTCGGCTAATTCGAGTTTCTCATCTGTTACTTCCATTGATCACAGATACAATGATGTATATGTTTTTTTCAAATGTGTTTACGAAAAAAATACCTATTTATTTTACCAAAGGAAAATATACGACGGTCGTGTTTTTTTTTTTCTTTATTCTACAGAATGCAAGATGTTCGCTGATGATTTGTCTCAAGTAAAGGAAAAAAAAAGTGTCGCGTACGATCGGCTGTGTAGTACTAATACAATGATAGTTAGGAGCGTTGTTTTTCATTTTCTCTTGCTGAGTGTATTACTAAATAGCATCAATACAAACAACATGCATTTATTTTAGTGATTAAGACAAGAAATGTAAATAGAATTGTAACATTGAGATGCCTAATCAATAAAGAGTTGGTCACTTTTGAAGTTAAATATAAGGTTCAAACATACGATTATTACACAATGATTGAAACGTTCAACTTTCTTTCAGATTGGATCTCGAATATTATAGATTTAACTTGACATGGAAACTTGTTGTCATTCTTATTACAGTAGTATATACTAAGTAAAACCATAATGAAAAGCAATTATATAAAATTGACTTAATTGCCTTTTCAGAAGAATATCTATTGATTAATTTTGAAATAATCGTTATAAACTATTAAATATATTTTTAAGTTTACTATTTGTAAATAGTTTCTATTTAGAAAACATTCTTATTAATATACAAAAGAACTGAAAAGTTTTACAACATAATTATGAAAGTTATAGTCAAAGAGTTTAATCAATTAAATTTTTTTGTTTTTATTCAATACTTTTATACATATAATAAATGAAATATAATTTTTTTAAAATCAAGTTCTTCCAGTTGATGATAATGTTTTAATCCATTGTTGATATTTTGTATTAGCTATATCAATAAGATCTTCCATATGACCTGCTAACTAAAATACAATAGATATTATATATATATTTTATTTACATAATTAAATATAAATATTTACATGAAAATCTGTTAAAAGATCAGTTGATACTTTGTCTTTAAAAGTTTTAACTTGTGTTTCTCGAAAACGTTCAATTGTTTCATGAATACGATGAATCTAGTTTTTGAATAAAAACAAAAATGTATTAACTTTAAAAAATTTTTAATTAAATGAAATAAAACTTTTTCTTCAATTGAAGATGAACTTGGTGGAAATGATGACCAAAAATGACGAAGAAGTTCACTTAATGATATATAAATAGTTTGCATATCTTCTTGAATATTTTGAGGAACAATTTCTAAGAAACAAAAAAAAAAAACACCATAAATCAAAGATAATTTAATAGATTCATTTATTTAAATTACGTGATAATGTTTGTGCTGTTGTTCCATGCATAAGAGCACCACCAGGTGTTAAATCTTTAACAATTTTATGTGCTAAAGATGAATTTAAACTCTAGAAAAACAAAAAAAAAGATAGACATAAATAAATTTTCAAATAAAAATAAACTAAATACATTACTAATTCAGTATTAACATGCCAATTAGTCATTTCTTGTTTCAAATTATTAAGATTTGTTGGTATTTGTAGTACAGAATTTTTTTGTGAACGATCTATTGTTGGTGCACGTAGATATCTTTCAGGATTAACTAATTTTAATGTTTGAGTTTCTTCTTGTTGTTCAGTTCGTAAATCTTCTAAATCATCATCGGGTTTAAACTAAATCAAAAACAAAAAAAAAGAGCTAAAGTTTCACTAGGCTTAACGAAGTTTTCTATTTAAAAGACTGACCTGACATTTTATTCACAGATACGTCTACTTGTAATTTGGAATGTTTCCTTCGTGAGATGTTGAATTTTCCCAAAATCATTCAGATCTTATACAAAGATGCAAGAATCTCATGTTTTCTTCACGACATTCAACATCTCGTGAAGGAAACATTCTTTTAAGCTAAAATTTTCAGGATATTCTAGTTACAAGTAGACCTATCCTATCTATAGACAAAATTTCAAATCGAAATCCTTTCAGTCTCTTTTTTTTGTGCATACCGTGCCTTCGGTTAAAATTAAATTAAATATGACTATAACTCTGGAATGAAGATCTATGGATCCGAATCCTATTAGGATTATTCTAGTCTAATATGCTCAAAAACAATGAATCACTTCGAATGGTTTCCTCGTAAAATATTAAGATGTTTACTAGAACATCAAATTTAATTGCATAGAATTATTAAAGATCACAATTTTTTTTTTTTGTTTTTGAATTCCATCATACATAACTCAAGTTTCAAATATGGACTAGTATCTAATAGAACTAATACATAAATTCTGAAAAAAAATAAATAAAACATACTTTTTTTGCAACATTATCATCATCATCATTATCATCAAGTTCTAATCGATTTGTAGATGATATATCATTATTTGTATCTGAACCAAGTGTACTTTTAAGTATCATAGTTGAATGAAAATTAAAACGTTTAATAAGATTTTTATTTAAATCATTTTTTCCTGTTTGTTCTGCAATACTTTCATTAACACCATAACCAATCTATTTTAAATAATTCAAAAAAAAAAATAAATAAATAAATAAATTCTTACTTCAGTTGTTTCATTAGTTTCTGGTGCAATAACAGCCATTGCTTTTCGACTAGCTCGTTCTGCTTCATTGTGCATATCTATTTAAAATAATAATAATAATAAAAACAAATAAAATCTTTCATTTACTTTCATCATCTCGTTTAACACAATCTGTAAAAAGATCACGTGAATTCGATGGATGCGTACGATCCATAGTAAAATAATGTGATTGAAAAAATGTTCGCCAAAAATCAGCTTCATTCATATGTCCAGTAGGAACATTTTGTTCATATTTTTCTCGAACTATTTAAATAAATATTTGTTTTTTTTTTCTGTGAATTATTCTTCATTGAAATTAATTAATATACTTGCTGGATATGTACGAAAAATAGACATTATTGTATCTGTATTAAGTTTATAAATTAAACCACCATTATCACCTGATTCAGGACGAATATTTGACTAAATTTTTAAATATGAAATTAGACACAAATTATATTTAATATTCATACCAAAAATGAACCAGATACACCAGTATTTTGCTTTTTTGTACTTTCTGTTAATTTATCGAACTAAAATTTGAAACAAGAACAAAAAAAAAATTTTTTATTTTTTTAAACTTTTTATGTTTTATTCAAATCTTATACATCAACATATTTACTCCAAAAATCATCGGCAGGTACTAAACCATTAATAACTAGATCTTTGTACAATTGATAAACTGTTTTATTTTCATTTAAAATCCTATGAAAGAATACAAAATATGATAGAAAATGAAATGATCAATATATTATTCATAAAATCTAATCGAAACAGTACTGAATTATTATTAAAAATTTATGAAATATCAAATGTAGTGTGACATGTCGTCAATCATAAGATTTCAAAATTTTGTCAGAATGAAGAGAAAAAAAAAAATTACTCATCGAAATGTCATTTTTACTTAGTTTTAACTTCTAATGCTTGATCCATCATTGTTTTAAATTCTGGTAATAATATTTTAAGTAAATCCGAAACAGCATCACGATCTTTTCGTTGTGCATCAAGTCCAATTGGATTACAAAAATGAAATGTTGTCATCATTTCATTATAACAAACAATTTGTAAACGTATTTTAGATTTTTGATCAGATGATATACGATGATCTTTATATATATAATTAAAATATTATTTTTTAAATAAAAAAAAAGTATATAAATAATATTTACATTTAATATCACAATAATCAAATGATAATGTAAATACATCTCTATGTTTAGGCATCCAACCCATACGTTCACTCATCATATATAATGTTCCTTCAACTTTTTTACTTTTAACATGATCAACTTTAAGTCGAACATCTTCTCCGTTAGGCATCTAAAAAAATATTTAAATAGAAAAATCTAATTAATATAATTCAATTATGATAAATTTAAGATAAACAAATTTTTTTTTTCTTTTTCGAAATATATGTTATTTCATTAATCTGTCAACTATGAAAAAAAAAAACATAAAATAATGAATCAATCTATAGGATATTTTAGATATTTATTTTAGTTGATGTTTTCAAAAAAAAAAAAAAAAAGACATTTACACAGTAAATAAGCAACAATAACAGATAGATAAGTGTAAACTTGTTCATATTTATTTATTTATTTTAATCTTTAATAAGTGGTCGTGTTGTTGTTGTTCCACCAGCACTACTTGGAATAACTGAAGTTGAATTTGATTGTTTAAAATTAGCTGCTGCTTGATATTGTAATTGATAAGCCATTGAATGAATTTTAAAACCATAAAGACGTGCAACAAATTGATTTGTTGGTCGTTTTGGTCGATATTCTGGATGAACCATAAATAACATATGAGGAAAACCAGTACTAAAATATGCACCATCTGTATGATGATGTCGAGAACTTTTAGGTGTATAAACATCCATGCATTTAGGACAATAAAGTTTAACCATAGCTTCACCAGGAACTTCTGATAAGCCAATCTATTAGAAAATATGAATAAAAAAAGAAAAATTAATGTTTTTTTTTTAACGATGTTCTGAGTGAGAGGACAAGAGTCGAGAAACTATTGGCTTTCTTCAATATCAAAAAAAAAGAAAGTTTTGTTTTCTTTTATCAAAATACAAACATTTTATTCATTTTCTATACAGTTATATATGACCCAAAGACAGATCTTAGTGAACAATATTTTGAATCAATGAAAGAATGACTTTTATTTTTCCACTAAATGTCAGTTTGGATGTATACTGTGCTTCGAAACTCGATATTAACTCTATTCAAAATCCTTTCATCGACTCTTGTCTCAATCCTGATGGCTTCGAAACAATTCTTTTTATTTTTTACCGGTAACATTGGTTGATTGTCACAGTAAATACGAGGACAAAGACCAAAATCACCATTTTGAAATTTTTCAAGCATTTGTGCTATACCATTATTAGTTAATATATAACGTGCATGAATAAGACCTATTTATGTATGATTAAATTGTGAAATTTTTTTGTTTTTTGAAAATATTTTATTTACCATAGAGCATTTCAGCAGCTTGTTCAATTAAATCAGATTGATTAGGATTATCTTGATTATCAAGATCATCATCTGGTTCAAGATCAAGAATCATATCAAGTGCTTGACGATAATGAGGTACTTGTTCATTAAGACCAGTCTAATAATAATTTGACAAAATTTTAAATAATTATTTTTTTTTTAACAAAACATACTAAATTAAATTTATCTTGAATATAATCTTCATCAACTTCACAAAAAAATTCATTACCACGAAGACCACAAAACCATGAAATCCATGAAACTATTTTAATTATTATAAATTGATTGAATAAAATTTAATTAATAATACCTTCTTCTGATGAACTCATTGAACTTGTTTTTGATTTAGTACCACCAACGACAGACGACGATGATGATTGATCGTCTTTTATTATATATGCAGCTCCAGTCGAGGCCAGAACAATAACACCAACAGAAGAAAAAAAGTTCTAAAGAAAACAATGTATCAATAATTAGATAGTATTACATATTGTTTTTTTGGATAATCAATAATTAATCATAAACAATCAATATAATATTGTATCAATTACCGTTTCTAGATAATTAACTGTTTAAGATTTAATTCTTTTAATTAAAATATCAAACTATTCAAATTAGTAGTATCTTAGAACAAATGATGACAAACAAAAAACACAATATCTAAAAACTAAATATATTATATAGATATGATTGTTCTATCATCGACGAAAACAAAATAAAATTTTCTTCTAGTTTTTTTTTTTCATAATATATATGTGTGTATGTGTAACATCTACTAAATAAAGCAACAAGAAACATCATCTGACAGACAATAGGGTTAAGGTTCTAAGTCAAGAAAACGCTAAAATGAAGATATATCATTCGGTGACTGAATAAAAATAAAAACAACAAAGAAAAAAAAGAAAATTGTTTACAAATTAGAAAAAAACAAAAAAATGATTATCATGATAAAAGATCAAATTTCTTCTTTTTTTTTTCATTAAATTAAACATTAACCATTGATCCTAATTGTTTATCAACAATATAAAATTTTCCTTTGTCACTAAATAAACCCCAAAGAACTGCAGTTATTTCACATACAATAACAAATGGTATTGTTGCTAATGTACCACATATTCGAAGTGCAAATTGTGCATAACCTAAACGTACTAATGAAAATGAACGAACTGCACCTATTATATATAAATAAATATTAACAGCTCCAACATAACCAATTAAAAAATTTAATGTCCAATGTAAAGGTATAGGACAAAGTGGAGTAAGAATAACATTTAATGAAGTTAATGGTAATGTAACCCAGGAATATAATGCAATGCCTAAAATAATAATTTCTTTTTTTTTTCTTCATAAGATTATGATTTTTTACCTAATCCAATTCGAACTCGAATAGGTAAACGTCTATCATGTACAACTAATAGAATTCCTTGTAACCATCGTTTACGTTGTTTAATAAAATCTGTTAATGTAAATGGACTTTTTTCCCACATTTCACCTAAAAAAAACAAATTTCAATAACTTCTTATGATAAATTCATTGTAATAAAAAACAAACCTTCAATCCATCCAAATTTTTTATTTTTTGACATAGCTAACATAGCAAAATAAGTATCTTCAGCTATTGAACCAGCACGTCCATTATCAAATGTTACTTCAAATTCACATTGTGCTCGACATACAACAAATGATCCTTTAAATAAGAATGGTGGTTTATGAAATTTTTTTAAACAAAATCTTAAACATCCTAAATCAACACCAACACGCATACTATCAGCTAATGTTGTTATATAATTAACAATTGTTTCATTTGCATATGTTATTAAACCTTGTCCAATATCATATTTATTTGAATTAACAAAATTTAATATACCACGAACAGAATTTTCTGTTAATAATGTTTCTTCATCTAAATGTACAATATAATCATTTGGTGATAATTGATTTATATCAGGTTCTAATGCATATTGTAATGCACGTGATTTATATAATGCACCTGTTTTAGTTCTATAATCATTTGGTACAAGAATTTCTCTTATCATATTTATTGGTAAACCATTTAAATTAATTAATTTATCAGTAACAATTTCAATTTGAAAATTATTTAAACCAACTTTTGAACATGTATCTAAATTACGTTTAATATTTGTACGTACTAAATCAGGATAATCACCACGTGTAACAACACGTATACGAATTTTTGGTCCTAATAATGGTGAATTTTCTAATGTTGGTCGATCAGGAAAAACATTATATAATATTAAACCACATGTATGACATATAGCCAATGGTAATGGTAATAATGATAATAAACGTATAAAATAAATAATTATAGTTGAATATAAACCATAATATTCAATTGGATTATCAGTTATATATATGGAAGATATTTGATATGATGGAAATAAAATTATACCACCGGCCAATATTTCAAATATAAAAATAAATATTAGAAAACAACATACATGTAGTATATGACGACGTTGCGATGATAACATTGCTAGTTTGTTTGTTTTTTTATTATCTATATATTTGATCTTATTTGTCTATAATAAAACAGGTAAATTAAACAATTTTTTTTTAATATAACGAAAGTAACATATTTTGAAGTATAAAAAAGAAAATACGACGATAGTCAAGGTTATTATTATTTTTTTTTCTTTCATTCTTAATGGATCTCATCTGACAACGCCTCAAACTAAAAATATGCATAATATTTCATCACATATTTTTATTACTTATATGAATATTCATTAAAAAATTTCGATTAGACATCTATGCTTCTTCCTTCTAAACAAAGTACTTGATTCATTTTTATAATGCATGTATGTATATATGTAAGGTTCATAACATACTGAAGACTTTGACCTTCATCTTAAGTCCTCATCTGGAAGAAAAAGCATAGATAAGAAGGAAAAAACTCTATCTTTTAAGTATTACAGTATCTTATAAAAACATAACTTATTGCTTTTTATATCTATTGGATATTTATCATTTGTTTTTTTTTGAAATGTTAAGCCTTATTGTATTCTAGTAAATATATATATAAATAGATTTTCTCTACATTTTTAAATCTTTGTCTACAGATCATTGCGTCCGTTATAGTGTATTATTTGTTCTTTCTTCAATAGAATTATAAAAAAAAGAACGAAACAAAAGAGGTAATGACTATGAATAAATACGATTTGTTAGACCTTAGACGTTGAAGTAGCAGATGAAGTAGATTCTTTTTTTTTGTGATTTTGTCTAATAGTCCAATGTTAAAGACAAATGACATGACAAGAATAAGGAGAACATTAAAGCAATGAATCGATGAAAGAAAGGAAGAAAAAAAAGAAAGAAAAGGAAATAATAAGCATAAAAAAAAATATATAAAGATAGACTAGATGATCAATGATAGAATCTTCTTGATTGTACACGTCAGAAAAGGAAGATGGAAGAAAAAAGAAAAAAGAAACGGCAAACGAACCACACTCAACCAAATATATATCAAATTATACCAATGAGTATAAGCGATGATTAGTTATGTCTAAATATATGTATCAGTCAGTACAGACCGTATATATATGGAGTCATATATCTTATTTCTTTCTTCCTTGTTGAGAAGCAATAGTAGAACGAAAAAGAAAGTGGGCGAGATATAAACTCTATAGAATCTACCCTTTTTTTCCCCACCATGCGGTCATGGCATAAAATGTTCTATGACTAATTTCTTGTACATAAAAGAAAAAGCTATGATAAAAATGATTCACTTACCCTATACGACTTTCTTTTATATATGAATGATTCATCATTTTTGCGTGTTGATATTTGACTAACGGCACCGGACTGAGATTCTCATCTGAAAAAAAGAAAAACAAATTTGTATTGTAGATATAATAACTAATCAAGAATGATTAGAAAAATTAAATAATCTGTTGTTTTTTTTTATGTTGGTACAAAAAAGAATCAATACGAATTCTATGAAATATCTTCGAGATGAATATAAATATTATATGTGATTGGTAAGAAGTAAAAAAGTACTTCAAATAATCAAAAATTCTTTAATTATACTTACATATAAAATTATTTCCCATAAGTACTATACTCTAAAGACTGTTAGATTTTAATTCAATATCTTTCTAGATCATATATAAGATTTATTCGAATGTTAACTTCATAGAATAAATAATAAAAATCATTATATCTTTTAAAGAATAATAATTTTTAACTTATTACGAAAAAAATAAAAAAAAAAAACAGTTAGACTATTGATTTTCATATATATGAATCTAATTTTGTTTTCTTTTATAATCTTAATAATTTATTTAATTATATCAACATCAAACGATGTCTTACGTATGAGATAAAAATCATATTATTCATCAGTTTATACTAGAAATTATACTAATGGATATAGATTTATCGTGTTGAAAGTTTGATTATATATACTTATCAGTTATCATTGATATTCTGATAAGAAAATGATTATTATTTTATCATAATTAAATTTTCACTAAAATTGAATAAATATCAATAATTAAAACATATTTAACTCTAATATATATTTTCTATATAAAATATTAAATAATCATAAATAATAATATACTTTTAATGATCGAATTGTATTGATACGATCTATTTTTATTGAATATTTGATTTTATCTATTAATATAAATAAAATTTTTATATGCATAAAAAAACAAAATAATAAATAAATACTTTTAGATAATAAAAGAATGTTTTATTATTTCATATATTGTTAGATTGTATGAACAATATTTAATTAGAAGAAATCGATAATAATAAATTTTATTTTGCTTATTTGTTTTTATTTAATTAACAATTGAATCAAAGATTTTCTTTGTTTTAATTGTTATTATAAATTTCATGAGAAGTTCATTGTATGAAAGACTAACTACAATAGAAGTTATCTTAATACAAAACAAACAATATTTATTTATCATGATTATACTAAGCCAATGATTATATTGTTCTTATAACAGATGCCATCTATTTTATAATTAAAATTAAGTTATTTTTCTATTAAAAGAATAGATTATTTTAATCTTCTATTTCTTTTTAATAGAAAAATAACTTAATTGAATATTTCAAAAACAAATTATATTAAAATTTTAGAGAAGTAAGAGGGCGCTAGATACTAGAATAGAACACAAATAGACATAGTCAACAGTTTTAAGATTATGTATTTATATTTGTCATATGTAAATAAATTTAATAACATTTCATGTTATGACGAACAAAAAAAGATTACTTCTATTTATTCATATGAAAAGTTATTAGTGCAATTCCTGTGAGATTAAAATGTGAAAGACGATTTAGTTACTTTTGCTAATCTCAAGGAGATTGTGCATACACAAGAAAATATTACCGTAAGGTTTTATCTATCAATTGATACAAGAAACGTTCTATGTATAACAATAGCAATTGAGACTGCATTGACAAAATTCATTTTTATTATCAATATAATCAAGGATAATCATTAATCACAAAATCACAATTTATCACGTTTCAGCTCATTGATCTTGTTTCAATATAATACAATTATCTGCTAAATTTTTAGCAGTTTCAAGGATATTATTTGTAGGAAGGTCTTCACATTTTTATCTCGACACTTTAATACTTCTTTTATATTATATTACACAAAATTGCTCATAGAAAAATGCTATAAATCTGTATCAGCAATAAACCTGTTTGTCATAGTCACAAAGTTATATTATAGAGGACACTAGATGCAACATTTATACCAAAAAACACATACAATTATGTGTATTTCACTTTATTTTTCTATAATTATATAATATAATTTTTAATAAAATGAATCGAATTTCAATGATTAGACTTTCTAATAATAAAAAGAAAGTTGCCAAGAAACAAATGAAATCAAGCAAAGTAAATGGCGTCATGTTGAAAGTAATATAATATTATCCATAGTAATAAAGTAACTTTTATAATAATAATGGTTATTAAAACTTTACCGGATCCTTCAATAAAATCAAATGATAATAATCATTTTCTATCACAAAAACAAAAACGTAGTCAATCAGGTTAGAAATATTTCTTTATATGAAGTTTGATGATTGTCTATTTTTCAAATATAGCTCCATATTCATCTCTTGCTCGATCAGAAATAACTCAACAACGTCGTTTACCAGATGCTGCTGATCTTCGTCGAATGTGTATTATAACAAAAAGTGATTTAAATCGAATCTATGATAATTTAGATTATCGTCAACGTAATAAAGATATTATTCAACAAGAAATAATACGAAAAAAAGAATTAGCTGAACGTTCAGCTCAAATAACTAAACAATGGCCAAATACGATTGCTGTAAATATATAATCATTAATTTAATTATGTTTTTTAGTTTTCTTTATTTCAGGGTTTACGTGAACGTAAACTTGAAATGAAAAAAATTCGTCAACAAGAAGAAGAAGAACGAAAAAAAATATTAGATATTGAAGAAGAAAAATTAGCTGCTGAACGTCGTCGAGAACAAATTGAAAAAGCTAAACAATTAAAATATTATGAAACAGATCGTATTCGAACATTTCATGTAAATATAAAATATTAAATATCTTTCTTTTTGGAAATTTTTATTTAAAAAAAAAAAACATAGAGTGCTCTTCTTCATACGGAAGTTTTAAAAGAACGTGATCTACAAATTGATATGAAAAAACGTATTGAACAATTAAATCAAGCAGATGCCGAACAAGAACGTCAACGTTATCAAGTAGCTCAAAATGAATATAATAGAATTGAACAAGAAAAACTTGAGAAAAGAGCCAGGTTAATTTCTTCTATGATCTATTTCTCTATCATATAATAATTTTTGTTTTTTTAGAGATCGAGCTAATTTAAGTCAATATCATATTGCACAGTATGTAAAATCTTTATTTTAAATATTTATAAAAAAAAAAAACAAAAGAAATTATTTTCTAAAGAATCGAACGAAGACAAATACAAAGTGCTGAAGAAAAACAAAAAAATCAACAAGAAGGTGAAGAATATCGACGTTTAGCTGAACACTATGCATTTGAACAAATGGAAATTGAACGATTTCGTAAATTAACACAAAAAGATGTTAAAACTATGTATGATAAAGCACTTGAAGATAAATATAAAGTTAAACAAATGGAACAACAAATAGATAGTGTAAAAAAAATAAAATAAAATCTTTCATTGTACATCAAAGTTTTTTGTTTATGTAGGAAGAAGATGAAGAACTTCGTATTTATGCAGAAGCAAAGAAAAAAATTGCTCGAATAAGACGTGAAAAAGAACTTCAAGCTCATCAGTAAATTTAATAATTATTATATGATAAAAATTATTTGTTTTCTTTTAGAGAAAAACAAGAAGCACGTGATCATATGATTGGTTATTTAGGTTCATTACAAAAACGAACTGAAGCTAATTATGATACACAAATATTTCGTGCACAAGCACAAAGAGAAGCAAAAGAATTACGTGAAGAACAAGAAAAATTAGATAAAAAACAAAAAATGCAAGAATCAATTAATAAATATCGACAAGAAACCGTATGAATACTTTTCTTTTTACTTTTTGATAACATAAAATCAATATATGTACTTTTTGTTGTCTTATTTAAGATGAAACGACGTGAAGTTGAAAAAGAAATAGAACAACGAGATGATTTAGAAATGCGTCAGAAAAAAGCTGAAGCTGATCAATTATTTCTTTTATATCAACAAGAAAAAGATAAACAACGAAATCAAGATGCTCAAGCTCTTTCAGAATTTCAATTAAAACAAACTGTAAGTTATTAAAAATTTTTCCCACCAAACCCTCAAAAAATCAAATAATAGAATTTCAACTCAAAATTTTGTTGATAATGAATCGTCGAATATCTAGAAAACATATTCATTTGTTGATGTATTAAATTTTCAACTAAACTCAATTTTTTTGGCATCGATAGAATCGATCTACCGGTTATCACAGCCGTGACTAGTAGCGAAACCAGGATTTTAACGGTGGAGGGGCTCAGCTGATCGAGCTCTAAGTCGGTGGTGGGGCTTAGCCACCCCTGGTTACGCCACTAGCCGTGACACTAATATCTTGTACAAGAGTAAAAAGAATTGTCGACTTTATATTTTATCTTATTACAGATTAATAAAATTACATTACGCTACTGCCCAAACGGTTCGATGATATATTTTTCAGGAGTCTATTTATATTCATTTTTGTGTTTATTTTTGGAAAATATCATAATAAAATCTTTTTTTTTTTTGTTGTTTGTAGCAAGAACGAAAAGATCGTGAATATGGATTAAAAAGTAGTGAATTAGATGAAGTTCAACTTGATAAACATATAAATGAAATTGAAAGACAACAATATCAAGATTATGCTGGACGTGTTATTTCATATATGGAAGAAAATGAACGTAATACATATCCTATGAAAAAAGTATATATTCAACATATTTGTTGTTTGTTTCTCTTTTATTTTTTTGATATTTTAAACTTTTTATTTAGGTATATGCTGAAGAAATGAAACGTTTTGATCAATGGAATCAACTTTACAGAAAAACTGAAAGTTTAAATAATAATGATGAGAAAAAATCAACCAATCTAAATAAAAAAACATTTGATCAAACGAAAAAAAGTTTAGGTTTTCAATGGGATATACCTAATAAATAAAAAATAAACATTTATTTATTCATTCGTTTTTTTCTTTTTTATACACACAGTTTTAACTGTCACAAGTTGACAATCAATAAATCATTGTATAGAACCAATTTTAACAATGTTTCCTATCATAACATTAGAGCATAAGAATAAAATTACCAGATCATTATAACCATTCTTTACAAAACTGACACTGAGGTCAAAGTTACGAAAATAAAAATTTGTTGGACCAAAAGTCAAGTGCATAATAAAATATTCTCGGTAGCGATTTCGCCTATAGCAGGACCTAACATCATTGAGAATATTAAAAAACAATTAACCTTTTCGCTTTTTAATAAAAACGTGTTAGACATTATCTTAGTTTGAACTTCACACAATTTACTCAAAATGTAACATTTTATATTTGATTCTTGAAAAAGAAAAATCATATTCATTTACATATGCTACTTCTTCTCATCATCAAACATGCTTTCACACACACTTCTTTTATATTTTTTTCGATGAGTTGTCACCTAAAGATTATATCATTAAAAAAAATCACTCATAGAATTAGAATAAAAGATTTGCCTTATCGATTTGAAATTCAAAGATGAAGCAAAAAATTATAAATTTTTCTCTTCACACATATTCATGAAATTTTTATTAAATATATTTTCCCCTTTTTTTTCTTGATGTTCATATTCAATAACTGAATCATTTCCTTAGTCAATGAATAAATTGAATGAAATAAATCGATTGATATCCCCCGTTGATCAAATCATCTTATTTCAGGTTAACAATTGTACATAGTTTATATCCTAGTGTGTATATTTTCGTGATAAATAACATGTGAATTATTGACAATTGTTCTCTTCATAATTATCTTCCACATTCCCATCATTTCTTTAAACAAAAAAGAATGTCTTCTATGTTAGTAGAATGATAAGAATTGGAATTTTCTTTAAGTCAACAATAATATTTAAATAGTTGATTTTAGATGTTCTATTTGAATAAATTTTTTGATGATTTATAAAAAAAAAAAGGTGTGAACAAGATAAAACAATTTATTTTATTGATAAGTAACGAAAATGAATTATATAAACTGTTCAAAATAAAGGGTCCAATTGATCAGTAGTTTAATATTATGCCATTTGAAGGATTGATACAAATATTCAAATCTCATATAGATGCATTCAATTAGAGATCATTTTCTGTCTTTATATTTAATTAATTTTTTGTTGAGATTCAGAATTTATGAAACGCTTTATATACCCTCATCCATTTTTATAACGGATAAGTCTATCTGTTATGCGAATGTTGCGAGTAAATCACTATCGAATTGCTTGTCTAATTATTAATTCATACTCTATCTGATATGCTTGAATTGTTATGATGTAATATATCTTTCATAAACCAGATATATTGTTTATTGAGTGATATCTGAGCAAATAATACAATTCATGATTTTTCTGTTCAATAGTTTTATCAGATGAAATAGCAGAAAGAAGAAAATAAACTTTTTTTCCAATTGGTTAAAATAATGAATTTCTCTTCTTTCTTCTTCTTCTTCTCTCTATATATGATATATTATTTTATTTGTATTCTTCATTTGATTAATTTAAAATAATTAGAATGGTTATTGAAAAATTATCATGTACAAAAAAAACGAAGAAAACTATTTTCAGTCGTCTTACTAATAAATTTATTAATCAACAACGATGTTTAAAACGTGATCAATCAGTTCAAACAAATTTACATCCACCTAGAACAACTACAGTTCTTGTTAAAAATCATTTAAAACAACGAATATATTCATTAGATAATCATAAAGAAAATATTCAAATATCATCACATCATCGTCGATCATCAATTAAAACATTTCTTACTTTAAATTCACCTAAACCAATATCACTTATTTATCGTACACGTCGACGTAGTATTAATTTAAAAACACCAAAACGATTGAGCTCTGAATGTCTTGTAAGTTTTGTAGTTTTTATCTATAGAATATATTTTAAGAATTTTATACCATCAATAATAGAATTAATATAAAATATTCTTTTCTTTTTTTTTTTTTGTTTAATAGCAAGTTGCATTAGTTCGAAAAATTCAACCACTCAATCGTTTCGATTCATCATTCATATTAGATTTTCAATCTAAACAAATCTTTAATGATGAAACAACAAGTCGTGATGAACTTTTTTCTATAGGACCAATGAAATGGAGGTACAATCGTTATTATTATTTTTTTATAATAGACATTTTAATGTTTTCTTTAGTACACCTAATCGAACTATTGTATACAAAACTTCAAGTCCAAATAATAATAATAATTCTGATCGACAACATCATTTATGTACCGTCGATCAACTCTCTTTTTCAAATATTTTTGATCGTACTGATTGATTTTGATAAAATGTTTTCTTTCTTTTCAAACATGAATATATTTCATTGAAAGCATATTTATCAGTTTACTTATCTTGAAATCTAGGTGACAGCATGAAGATTCTTTTTTTTTCAATGTATCTCATCGACATCAATGTTTATGTTCAATTTGTTCTCTAACGCCTTGTGTCTTTTCATGAGTTCATTCTCGATTGATGAATTTTTTCGGTCCTGTTGCTACTAATTGATGCATATCATCGACGGGAAAAACAGCGAGCTTTTCTTTTCATACATATACTCGGAAAATACGTCTTCCGGACATTGGCCAACATTGTGCAGAGCAATTGTAATGTTGAATAGACATAAAAATTAAGTAGAAATAAGACATTTTATTAATATATTTTATTGACTAGAAATAAATACAGGAGAGATAAACTAAAAGATATATGATAAAAACTAAGGCGATTCATCAAATCGAATTCGCAGTGAACCATTTTTGAATTTTGCAGTTTCATTGAGTAATTTTTTAATTTACTTGAATCAACTATTTTCTTGCCTAGTTCTAAAGCAATGAGTTTATTTACTGTTGCTAATCATTCACTAGAAGAATCATGAAGTGTTTGTAAACGACGCCGATTTTGAAACTAAATACATATTTGATCAAATTTTATGCCAAATTGTTGAGTAACGAAACCACATTGGATAGCTATAAGAATAAAATAAGTACTCATATCAAAATAATAAACTGACGGTTCGTTTGAACACAAATACGAAATCAATATTGATAACAGATTTTTAAATGTACGCTTATCGATTGAGTTGTCATTGTTAATGGTATAATCTAAGAGAAAGATATTAAAACAAATGACGAACTTCATCAGAATAGAATCATATTTGATCGCAGTTGAAAAAAAAAGGAGAAGATGATGTTAGCATGTGGTGTTGATAACATGAAAGTAGAGAAGAGCAACATGTACAAGACGATATCCAAGGTGCGTAAAAGTGAGTATAAATACATGAAATCGATAGATATGACATGAAATTTTACTTTATATTCAATAGCGAAAATGTCTATCATTTTCTGTTCGTGTATTTGTTCTGATCAATAGGACTTCTGGTTTCTATTTGTTGTTTATTCGACAAACGAAAGAGGATAGTTATAATTTAAGTTGTAAAGAAAATTTCTTGGTACTTAGCTCGTTATACGATGAAAGCAGAACTTTGAGGATGGAACAGTAAATGACTAATATCAGAGAAAACGACATTATATTGGCGAAAAAAACTGTGTTACTTGATTATTGTTATTCGTTGTTCACAAAACCTTGAATCTAATATTTAAGTATTGATCACATGGAAATATGATCCATTTTAGTTTTTATTAGAAAAATGCTATCGTTCAGAAGGAAATACTATTACCTCTTTCATTCAAAGATGATCTCAAATTCTAAGAATATTCAAAAAAAATTCACAAAATTAGGCATCAGGAGAAAGAAGACTTTCTAATGCTCTGAAAAGTCCGAAAATATACAATATTGGACAATCTTTTACGTTGAGTTTTTTTTCCATAATTGTTCAAAAGAGATAAAATCCTATAAATCGAAAGAGTAAAATGTCCATGAATTGAAATGCTTATTTTATGATAAATCACTGACAATCTGAAGTTGCATCAGATAGCTTTCCAATATGATATTTGTACAGAAACATTACTCATTATTTTAAAAATGACAAAGAGGAGTGTGGATGTGGGCGTGGGTTTGAATCTTCTCTTTGTGCACCAACATCCAATCTGTTATTATTAAGTACATCCTCGAACAGATAGTCAATGGAAATGATCATCATTAACTGTTGTGCGCTTTTGAACGATATCTATGACCTTAGATTATAAAGAAATACATATTGTTGTGTCTACTCTATTATAAATGAACTTTGATGCAAAAGAAATATTTTTCTTATTGGTTGCATTCGCTCACGGTTTACTTCTCACCTTGAATCGTTTACTTTTGATGATAAGTGTAGTTGTGTTATCAATGAAGTCTGTAGCTGAAAAATATTCAATTAAAATAAAAACAAGAAAGATAAGATAAGTAAAATGTTGGCATTTTTCAAAACTAACAAACGTGTCATTCGATAAAAAAACAAACGGTCTCACATATATAAAATTAACTAAAGCCATCAACAACGTACTATTCAATTTTCTACGACTATTTTTGTTGAAATTATTTGACTGTGGTAAGTAAATTATTAGAATGGTTTGAAAAGTTAATCAAAGTAATTTAAAAGCCATATACGTAGTGCAAATATGATTGTATTATTAGAAAGGATGTAGAAAAAAATGGAAACAAAACCAGTGGCTGACTTTCATTTAGTCAACCCACAGATAGATGTTTGCCACTTAGCTGTCTAGTTAACTGACTTTTCTGCAGTTGTTTCACGTTTTTTAAAGGTGTTTATGTCTTAATTGTACAATGTTGTTTGTATCTGACAACATCGCTTTACATTCTATTTTGCTCATTCTATTCATCATCTAAATTCATTCTAGAGACTGCAATCGAACTATTTGCATAACGTAATAAGAAGTCTCGTGAGAAAAGGTATAAAATTGTTGATATTCAACTAATGAGATGTGGCTGTGGATGGCACACCTCGAATCATCCGGCAAGAAGTCAGAACGGTAGAGAATATCATTCTGCACTTATCAGTGCACTTTGGGGGAGGGAAAAAACTGCAGGTCACAAAACGATATCTCAGTATGAAAAAAACAGGCCTTTGAAGGTGATTAGCTATGAGTAATACTAAGAGCGAAAAGCTTCGAACCAGATCAAGGATGTGCCATGAAACGGCTATATGCATTGATTCACGCGTAACTACCTAAGAACGAAAACGAAAAGCGCCGGCAAAAACAGATATTCCGCATCAATGAGAATGGACAGCTCAAGCGTGGGTGTGGACGGGTGTGAAATGTAATGTTCTAAACTCACTGAGATCCACACTCACAACTATGTCTATACCCAACCACACCCGATCCTGTACCCACATCCACACCCATATCCACACAGACAACCTGTGGATATGGGTAGCTGTAAGATAAAATGTTCTAATGTCGCTGAGATTTACACACCCATAACCACATCCACATCCACCAACACCATGCTTACACCCACATCCATATCCACACACATAGCCACACTCCATCCACACCCATATTCACGTGCCACCCACACCCACACCCAGACATACCCATACGAAGAAGGCGATGATTCAATAATCAGTGCATTCGTCCTTCGAGGCAACCGACTGGATATTCCTACAAATATTCCGAGTTCATTCGCAGAGCTGATTTTGAGTGTTTGGGCACATAAACCTCAAAAGAGACCATCTTGCCAACAGCTTCTCAGTTTGATGAGAGAAGTCGCTTCCGAACTTGATGTTACTAAAAAAAACCAGACGTAAGGAACCATACTCTCTTTCTTTCAGTGTCTTCAGTTTCACATATGATTGAAGAAAAATATATTCGTTTCAGACTTTTCGAAAGTTTTAAATGTTGCCTGTCTTTTTACAGTAGTTGCATAATAGTCATCTAGATATCTGGCAAGTTAGGCTCTGCATTGAGCTGAATTACCTACGTACTTTGAATTAGATTCATAAATTGCATATTAGCTTTCTTTAATAGTCTAGATATATCTAAGAAAGCTGTTGAAAATATGTCGTATTTGTTTCTAGGTTGCTGACACTACTGACATAATGAACCCTGAAGCAACTACAGAGAAAGTTGATGCAGCTATAGAAAAATTTGAACCAGCTACAGAAAAAGTTGAAGAACGCACAGAGAAAGTTGAAGCAATCTCAGGGGAGGTTGGGATAGTCACAGAAATAGTTGATGCAGCCGCAATCAAAATTTCGTCATCACAACAATGCTGCAGCAGGTACGTATTATCATACCTCGCCTATGATGGTTTGACTTTTTTCAATTAATTCTAGTCCTACGAAATCCAATGAAACATCAAGTGCAACCGGTAAGACTTGAAAGCATTGACGTCTGAGATCGTTTATGGTGAATTTATTCTTTTGCATGTACACGAGTATTTGTGTTTTTTTTCCTGTCGAGAATCTAGATAGACAGTGGGTATAGTTGATAATCAAATATTTCCTCTCGTAAATAAATGTTATTTATCGCTTGGTGTAGCTTCGTTTCCAGAACCCCATTAGTTCACCTCATTACAAAGTTTTCCCTTCGAATTTCTCGTCGATTGATTTCGGCATACTTACACTATTGAAATTTCTTTTTTCTAACCATATACTCTATTTTATTTGCACTAGTGAAAAGATCCGTCTACATGTAAATCGCTACCATAGTTCTTCCACACTATTATGACAGAATTAAACGTATAACGTACATATCGATTACTGGCATGAGAGATAATAAGAAGCCATCAGAGATGTCATCAATCACTAGATAGAACCAAAGTAAATGCACTGCACCACAGATACCAAAACTAAATCAAAAACGGTTGAACATCTCAATCGATCATTTGGGTTTGACTATAGCTGAGAATTTCAGTCTCAAGATATACAGAAATTTCCTTTCTTTCTCCACACGTGACTTTGTGCGGTTTTCTCGAACTCCATTCAAAAGAAACTATTTCATATCACAGCACAAATTTAAATTTTGGTTCCAGTTGTTCGATATTATGATCTTTTATTTGAATAAAAATCTTGAATCTTCTGTTAATATTTGTCCCTCGGTTTCAAAAACCATTATTCAAGTCCTGCGAAATATTTTCAGAACTGTGAAGTCTAAAAAAACACATTCAAAATCAATTCTGCTTACTACAATGAATATCTCAAAATTTTAAAACAATTTTAAAGTTCGTGCTCTTTGTATCCAACAAAAGCAAATTCTTAGTAACTGAGATAAATTATTGTGTCATCTTGGCAATAAATAACAACAAAGTTGCAGGTCTATTGCTTCTATTACAAAAAGGAAGCAATGAGAACACTAATATGAACAATCACTCCAATGTTTCAATAATTTTAAAGGGATAAAATTCAAGATAAATGATGAAACAAATATTTTTTCTTTCACCAATTTATTTTCATTTCTGTATATGTCAATACGAGAAAAATCTAAACGTCAACTTTCGTTCACTACCGTTGAATCAATATTCAGTGTCGCATGAATTATCAACTAACGATAAAAGAATTTTTATTTTTTTGAAGCATTATACTGCGAAAAGCTTGCATTAATTAGGGACAGAGAAACAGAAACCCTATTTTCTTAGACAAAGACAAGTGCTTTAAGACTTAAAGTTTGAAGAATATTAGAGTACGATATTGTTAGACTTACTAAAAACAGAAGTCCGTCATACAACAAAAATCATAAAGTATGTTCAACTTGTAAAAGAATCTCTTCAATTACAAAAAAAAGCTGCGTTTAATTGGAAATACTAAATTTAAACTTCGAAAACAAAGATACAAATTATCAAAAAAAATTTGAATGAAAGTAAAAACATGCTTTAAAATTATGGTGATAGAAATGACGTATAGTAAATACATAAACAAAAATGTCGAAATCTGCTGCATACTATTATCAAACAAGGGTTCAGAAAAAAAAATGAAATTCAGAGTTCACTCAATTCTAAAATTGAGATTATGTAATACAGATTTTAGCGGCTTATTTGCATTCTATTGATAGTACAACCAGCATATTGAAGAGATCCTACTGAACCAATATATGATATTTTATATGAAGCACAAACAATATTAGAAGTGAAATTTCAGAAATGCATGATAGTATCGGCTAGTATTTTTTTAGAAGATATTGTTTTCCAAACCATCTTCAATTTTTATCAATGAATTGCGAGAGCTTGTCAGACTATTAAATGATGATAGTCGCTAAAAAAATGTATTTTGCTTACGACAGACATGTAAAATAAATCCGCAATGGTTCAGTTTTAATTTCAAAAATAGTAACAAAAGAGTAAGTAAAAGTTAAATAATTAATGCATAAGAACGTTTTTATAGTTTCTTAGCTTGTTGTTTAGTAGTAAGTCAATAAAATGAGCTGTCACCGTTGCAAAGAAATCGTTTTTGTTGAAGACAAACATAATGAATTCTAAAATTATTTCAGAATTTCTGGGACACTGCATAAGTACTTTCACTTGTAGTCATTCACAAAAAATGGAATAGTTGTTAAAGATAATTAAAAGTAGTCAATATTGTAAAGGTTCTTACATTGATTACAGCAGTGGACAATTGGGCCAGTCGATGGGAGAATTATTCCCGCTTATGAAGAAATGTTTCACCTCATCTAAACTCGTATGAATCAAAAGGAAATGGAATGAAAGAACATACACATATGTCTATCAATTAATGTGCTTACATGTTTAGTTTTGAGTCTCAAAAGAAACTTTCTTAGTTTTTCTCGTCGCCATAGAAGAAATACATGAATTTCTTTTCCTTAGATACATGATATTTTTACTAGAACGTCTCCTTAGGATGAAGAAGTCAAATAAATGATATCTATTTAAGCCTGTTAAACTTGTATATATGAAGATAGAAATGACTGAAGAATTTGTTTTTTTTTTACGAATAGTTCTTTTACTTTGATGTACACCGATTTAAGTAACGGTTGCAATTGTTTTAAAAAGTGTTGGTTGCTGTCTTGATGAGGAATAAAATATTTCTGACAGAAATGGCTCAACGTTCGTGTTTAGAGAACGGAGTATCACCTAGCCTTTGCTGATCGTTATGTTAAAAGTTTTTAAATTTTATCAATAAGCATTGTTTCTATAATAAAAGTGTTCAAAATCGACAAGAATCTGAAACAACTAAGAGTTGTCGTCATTTGCATCCAACCATTTTCAGTTTTTTTAGTAAAGTTAAAAAAAAACTTCTTACTAAAATGAGTAGTGCAGAAAATTTTACAAAGTAGACTAGTTCAATAAAATTTTAATATATATAGTTTTTGTAATTTATGAGAAATAAGAAATTCTATTAACCGAGTCAACTGCTGTAAATGTAAAACAGTGAATTTCTGCAGTATGTGACTGAAGAGACTGCATGCACCAAAATCTGCTCTACAAAACTGAATAGGTGGTATTTAATTTAAGATGTTCTAGCTTGAATAAAACTCAACACAAGTTAATGAATCGCTTTTTTCAGCAAACAACAGGAAGACTGTTCGTGTGTGCAACGTCAGAATTTCGTCTTCGCGTGGTTAAAACTGCAGAAAGTATCTGCTTCAGCATGAAAAATTGAGCGATCAACTCTGAATCATCCAATAATATTATGTTCATTTCACATAGAGTTTTGACCAAAAATTCCGATCAAACCATACGAAAAGCACATAGTTCATCCGATTCGGCTCAGAAAGGTTTTTTTCTCTAGGCTGGCGCGATCCAGACCGTATCTGTTTTTCCTAGAAAGATTTTTCACGTGCGAAAATAAAAAAGATTGATTTTAATTGGTTTTTTTTTCTAACTGGAAAATTGATTAAAACGGCACTAGTTGAGGACAATAAATATCTGATTTTTCAGCTTTCAAGATAGATTTCATTTGGCTTTAATCTTTCATAATCCATATAAAAAAAAAACAGTTTTAATTGATAAAACTATATTGACTGATCAAAAACGACTGCCATCAATTGAAATTTATCTTTATAGCAGATAGATCAGTTTTTAATCAGAATTAAATTATACCACTTTAATTGGCTTTTACTGGAAAACTAATTGACTTTGTTCTGATTTTTCGTTGAAATTTCTTACATGAGTTTTACATCTTGTAACTGGTAAAAATCAAAAATGATTATTGTGTAAACGTTTGAGAAGTTTCATTTAGTCAATAAATAAAAGCAGAGCATTTGTTCGGTTCAATGACATCGCTCATAAATACAGAAGGTCGCGTGTACTATCATATGCATTAAGTGGCATGGATGTTTCTGAAATGGGACAGTGTTAATTGTGTACTGAAGTAAACAGTGTACCTAAAAATAGTAACCGATCTTCCTCTTAGAAATCTATAAAGTAAATGCATTAAGAATCGACAAAAACTTCGTCTTCTAGAGTGTTTTAAATAACAGATCCGTAAAGGTACAGTAGGTCTAGCTGAAAATCAAGAAGTAATAGGTTGAAGCTTAATCTAGTAAAACGAGTTCTAGAAGTCATCGCATAAAATTAAAGCTTGTCGAGCAAAATCTTGCAATCGAACACTAATGAAATTATCAACGCGATAAAACTGATAGAAGCTACCAGAGAAACTCGTAAAAGTACATAAATTGAGAGAAAATAATACCTTTTAACAGGCTTATTTATGACTAACACATTTATATGCGTTAAAAATTCTGATAAACAATAGTTTTATGACACTATTAAGCCAATAAAAGCATTTATTTTGAAGAACTTGTCTGCCTGATCTATTCTTTTTCTGTTCATCTATAAGAACAATAGAATTATTTAGGATTTCGTTTGATAGAAATGAGGTTTCGATATAATAAAACATTATTGAACTCTGAAGAATGAAATGACATAGAGTTACTGTGACAAACGTTTTCAAATCCTCAGAAATAAATTTCATTTGCAAAGATTTCTTTCATCCTTTTGATACAAATTTTCTCAAAAGAGATTGTCGGCAATATAAAGAAATGATAAACTTTTCCAATGATGTGTACATTGAATAGAAAACTCTTTCTTTTCGTTTGTTATCTGGAATTAAAGGACAACATCTACAGTCTAAAGTCGAGTTACAATAGAAGAGAAAGGTATATATCGATAGTTGTCAACACAAAACAAGTTTTTCGTTTCTGTCAGAAATGCATGTCAAATTCTTAAAACAGCAATAGATTTCCTTAGAAACTTTTTCAAATATGAATGTTATCATCGATTATCTTTTCTTTCAAGTAATACAATTTCTCTCAATGTATTGTCATTATTCAGAAAGTTAAGACCGTGCAAAACGTTTGTTGTTTATTTCATACTGTGGACGGAAATATGAGCGGCTTAATATCTAAGATTTCAAATCAACTTAATCGAAAGAACAAACTTCATATTCAAATAAAGTTTCCTTCTTCTCAGAAATAATTAGATTTCATAGGTGAAGAGAACGATTTCTTCATTCAGACATAATAAAAAATGGTCTTTTTCTTCTGAAATGTGTTCGACACTGAAAAAAGACTTCAAGAAACAAAAAACTTCTGCCCTTTTGGCATTAATCTTAGTGGACAGTCTCATATTTCTTTCAGGATCAATTTATAGGACTTTTTCAATCCGATAAGAAATAACATTTTTTGAAAGTACTACTCTTTTCTAAGACCAAGTAACACATCGATTTGATGGTTCAGCTAATTCAGCGGACGAAATTTTCGATAGAGGAACATCAGAACTATAATACGTAGCGATTGGAATTACAAATCTGCATGCTACTAACTGACAGCATCAAACTTATTGAGAGATGATATTGTCTGATTCATAAGCTTTTTAGATGACTAAATAAAAAAAGATACAAATAACATCGATCCATGTTTAAAGTTTACACGATGGTTCGATGGTCTTATCTACAAAAGCTAAGGATCTGATGCAAGTCATTTTCTTCCACGAAACCGAATATGTTGTTCTCCTATCGTCTGACTTGGCATTAAAACTAGAAAAGAAAACAATATCATAAATACTAATAAATAACAAAATAAAAATCTGAGTATAGAATTCATTTTCAAATGCTAAAAAAACTCTCATATTGGACAACTCAATCTAATAAACAACACTTAAAATTTCTATTCTATTTAGTTTCCTTGATTGACATGGCCACACCTGTTCCACCAATTGATGACTGTCATGCAAACGCCGACGATCACCATCTTGAAATTTTCTGCCTTATATGGCTCGATGCCAACATAAGTGTTGAAGAAAATCGAGATACAGAACAAAGGTTACGTTCTATTATTAATAATCTCATCAAGTTTCAAGACGTAAATCAGTGTCAAAAATATATTGAAGAACGATCACATAAAGATCGACTAATAATGATTGTTAGTGGTCAAGCGGGACGAGAAATAGTTCCTTCTATTCATAAACTTCAACAAGTTGTATCAATCTATGTATACTGCATGGATAAGAACAAGCACGAACAATGGGCTCGTACATTTGCAAAAGTAAAACTGTTCATGATGATTTTGATTTCCTTTTATAACTTTTTTTTGACAGGTAAAAGCTGTTGTTGTTAAACTTGATGAACTCATTTTTCGAATTGGAGCTGATCATAGAATTCAGAAAATAGTAGAAGAACCTTTGTCAATTAATATTTTTACTACAAGTACTGGTGCAGGCACATCAACAATGGGTGTTAATGGTCAATTTGTTTATTCTCAACTCCTGATTGAGTGTCTTCTCCGATTAAAATATATCGAAGCAGATAAACAAGAACTTATTCATCTTTGTAAACAGAAATATGAAAGTAACATTACTGAATTGAACAATCTTCATGATTTTGAAAAGAATTATTCACCAAACAAAGCTCTATGGTGGTACACAAGAGAGTCATTCTTTTACAAGACTCTTAATACGGCTCTGCGCACGCAAGATATTCATTTAATTTTTTTATTTCGTGTATTTATCTTCGATCTTTATAATCAATTGAAAAAGTATCAAACTGGAAATACGCTACGAGTTTATCGAAGCCAGATGATGTCAAGTGAT